CAAACCAGCCTGTGATATGGATGAACAGTGGAAGGGTTTCCTGTTGAAACAGACCAAATCTAACTTGCCGAAATATCCCTTTTGACCTCTCTTCTCTCATCTCACCTACCTTTGCTGCCAAGCCATTATCTAGATCAGATTTCCTTAGGCCACGGAGACGCGGGAGAAGCAGGCAGGTGTCTCTGGACCCCTTCGCCTAGCTCCTGCGAGGCCAAGGCTGTGCATTCATTCTCAGGGTTGGGGTTGCAGACAGCAGGGAGAGGGGTCGAGGTCTGGCTGTGCTGGGGGGATCATCAGCATCCTCGGTTGAACACTGCTCAGGGCAAGGTCTAACAAGTCCAAGGCAGAGCAGGGAATGGAACTCAGGCCTTTGAGGATCCTGTCACAGGACCATCCAGGTCAGAGGCACGTAGGCACACATGCTCTGATATGTGTAAGCATCAACATCCTGTTCTGTGTGTGGGAATCCAAGAGTCAGTAGAGTTGGGGTCCTTAGGGGCCACTGAGTCCAACGACCCAGGCTGGGCATGATTCTTCTCTTCAACATTTCTTCAACAACCCTGTCTGTGGAGCTGCTGGGTATGGGGATAGCCCAGCTTCCTTTGTTCCTTCAAAAAAGAGGCACCTACCGTGGGCCAGGTACTGAGGACACAGTGATAAAGTTAACAGCACTTACCTACATTCCAGGGGAGGATAGGCAGTATAAACAAGTAGGTGATTCAGCGAAGGAGGTGGCAAGTGACATGGAGAAAATAAAGTCTATTCCTTCTGCCCCAGTTACGGCCCCACAGCTATTAGAAACAGCCACATCTAGAATCTTCTCTATACCAGGCTAAATACCCTAAACACCCTTCACCATTCCTTCTGGGACAAGGATCCAAGTCTCTTCACCACCCCAGCTGCCCTCTCCTGGACTCCCCTGGTTTCTAGACAGTCACCTGAGAGAGGGGCACAAGCCCCTCAACAGTGGTCAGGCCAAGAGCCCCGGTCCCTGGGTTTCCATGGGTTTCCGAGAACGTAGCCAGCTTTCCCACATCCGTCGTTGGCAGCCACCCCATGCACCTAACTCATCCGGCCCACAGACCGTAAGGAGCCCCGGTCTTTTCCTTATGAACTGCATGTCTCCCAACTTCTAGATGGGAGTGCCAGGATTTATATCTACCCTGGTAGTTTCCTAAGACCAGAGGCAGATATCACTCCAGCCCACCGATGAGGAGGTGTTCGGGTTCCTTATCGGAGTCTGCACTCCCTTCCAGATAAGTTCCTCTGGAAGCCTGGTCCTCCTATCTTCTAGGCAGAGCTGGGGACAACCCTAAGGCAGTCAGAGGGGCCTCCTTCCAGGGTGGCCTTGCTCCTTCCTATGGACTCTCGATGTGCGGCTGCTAAGGGGGTCACGAAGCCCCCGAGATGGTGGAAGCCTCGAGCTCGCATACAGCCCCCCGGTACCAGAAAAAGCCTCATGACCAATCTGGTAGCCAAGTACACAATTGGTTTGAAATCTTGTAGATCAGAAGTTGCCGCACCCAGGTGACCATCAGAATCACATGGCGGATCTTTTAAAGAAACAAACTCCCAGGCTCCATCTTCAAGTTTTCTGAACCAGTCCGGCCAGGGTGGAACTCAAACATCTGTGTTGTTGTTTCCTAAGCTCTGGTGTTATTGAATCCATACTGGCTCTTAATGAATCCTACTGTCCCTTCCGAACGCCCACAGATGATGGCTTCCAGAAGTCCACGTCTCTGTGGTTCTCTCCCAAAATGTCCTTTTTGTGCAGACTGGGACATAGTCCTTTTGACCATTGTATCTGCCCAGGGCAGGTATTAGTTATTTAGCCAAAGGACCAACAAAACTGTGGGGTGAGGGGTGAGTTACTCAGG